AGCAGTAAGTAGGCCCACACAGATGTGCACATCCTGAGCTCCTTTGTATTTGTTTATGAAATATTTGGCTACTTATATTGTGTTAAGCTAACAGTCACAGATTTACCCAAATTAAGCTCATTTCACTGCACTTGTGGAATAATGTTAATTTGCACAGGAATGTTTTACACTTGTCCCTCCTTTTCTTCTTCTTCTTAAAAAAAAAAATCTGGGTTACACTGGGAGCACTTATAAAAGAAGCGAATGGGGGAATGGGCAATTTGTAAATATTGCAGTTTTTTTTAATAGTATAGCCACAGTATGCAAACAATGTTTTAAAACGATTTTAGTGTGAAAAATTGCTCGCTAACCTACCCTTTTTGTGGGCTTATTTACGCTTGGCCATTTCATGCATTTTCTTTGATCGAATAGCTTTCCGAATGCGAACAGATCAGGTTTAAATGCCCTTCAGAATGCGCCCGAGAAGGAAAAGCGCACAAAATAAAGATGTGAAAGGCTCCCGGTAACCAAGCATGTGCAAACTACCGTAAATGAAACTCACCTCATCTTTAATCCACAGCATCTTCTCATGTTTAACACACAGTTGTATTCATTTAAAGTGGTGAACACTAAATTATTTCACCAGAGCTGATGATGCTCATCTGTTGCTTATATCAAACATAAATAAATACATTAGATAAATAGATAACAGATAAACAAATAGAACATAGATACATAAAATGCAGCACATATCTGATGTGAACTTTGTTAAATTTGCACATAGCGCGGGAATTGAAGATCAGATTTATATTCTTTTTTTATTTGTCATTTTAACAAATCATAGCTATCTGATCTGAGAAAATGTAAATAGGTCCCATGTAAAGATATTTTTATTTATTTATTTATTGGGAAAAAAAACAAATCTAATTTATGTAATATGTATTTTAAGACTTGGCTATTACTGTAGTTTAGCCCAGTTTAAGCACTGACTGAAACTTTCCCTTTTTTTAAATAACATAATCGCATGAATTATACCACCAGGTGGCAACAAACACCATATATTACAGCCTCAGATTTAGTTTCTCCCGAGTCTCAGGCTCTGCAAATGCTCAAGTGCCTTTTGAAGAACCGAATCTACAAATCATCCCTGTTTAGGGAGTCTAACATCCTTGTCATCAAATACATTGCAAAATATGGTAAATGCATTTGATGACACATATTGAGTTTTATGGCGTGCCTGCTATTTAGGATCTAAAACAACGATTTATCGCTCATAATGATGAATCTCTGCTTGGTCATATGTGGATAAGTACATTCATAATCAGATGTGCATGACCATTTGATATGTTAACCTGTGGAAGTGTTTCACAGTCCCCTCTACGCTCTCAATATTAACTCGATGGGTATGTCAAACATATTTAGACTGATGGAAGTTTTAATGACAGTAAAATGTTAATTGACTTTTAAATAGACAGAAATGCTGGTAGTTAAAGTAAATTATACCCAATTAGGGCCCTCTGCCATCTGTTGGAAGTCTTCTCACCATGATGTGCATTTTAAACAGTTTAACACAGAGTAGTCATGAATACGAAGCACATCCAGATGACGTTACCTTGCAAAAATCACACATTAATGTTAAGTTAACATTAGGTTTTGATGAATAATTGACAACGCCTGAAGCTGTTCATCAAAGTTTGATAGGAAGATCTGCATTATAACGAACGTTTCTTTATATCTAGCACTGTTCTAACTCGTGTTTGCTTACATGCAGAAGTTTTATTTGTACTTGAATTTGTTTATGCTGTCGTAGTTTCATCCGAAATGCTGAGTAATGCTAGGCCGAGCCGAAGCGACGTGTGCGATCTTAGATTTAAAAGCAGGGATGGGCAACGATTTAAATGTAATTAACAAGCTGCCAGAAGGTGTAGGACGACAACTCCCCCTCTCTCTGCCTCCTGCTCGCTTATTCCAGGTTTTTTTTCAGAGTTAGAAGAGCTAATTAGAGGGATGATATGACACCGACTCACTCCAATGCAAAGAATGTCACACATACCTGGTCGTTACGAGTTTTACTCACAGGTATGTAATCTATAGTGCGATTTTGAGCCGCAAACAGATTGCCTACCAGATTAATACCAGCTGTTTTGCTTATACGAAGTAATCCGTGGAAGGTTCATCAGATTTCGAGTGCTACAACACCCCTACAAATAGGCTGACGTTGTTCCTCGGAGGGTCTGTTGACTCCAGCAGAGCCAATTAGAGTAGCCAGCAGCGCAGTCTGAGGAGCTTTGAACCACCATGTCAGGCTCTAGCTGCTCGCACGATGAAGGCTGAGGCAGCTGCATTGGCCTGACCCATTTTTCCACAAGCACCCCAGGCGCCTCTGAGCACGCGCCAACCGAGGCCGCAGCAGGCGCTTCTCAAAACCGTTACTTTAGCATATTATCGGCAAACATTCACTGGTTTTGTGTCGCCGGTTGCACTCTTGAGGTCTGTGAGGGATTCGGTTTGTGTATACTGTCACTTTAAACCTGTGTACCGAGGCACAGTACAGTTTTGTTCCTCGGCCATAAAACTCCTGAGCCAAGATGATTATACACATGCCAGGGGCCAATTCAATTTCATTTCAATTCAGTTTAAGTATAATGCGTTTGTCTCGTGTTACACACAAATGCTCAGATATCACCAGTCACTCTCTGTTATAATGAGCAGAACTGCTGCACTTGTGTTTTTTATTCTTTTTGCTTTTGAATGATTTTAAGACACCGAATCAATGCGGTTTGTATCTGTAAATGACACATGTAAAGGAGAATACAAGATTGTTTTATATAGTAGTTTAGACAATAGCAGAACTAAACTGGCAGCTGGAGATGAAAAATAGCTTTTAGCAATCACACATACTGTAGGCGGTGATGTGATGATGTTTAGGTTCAGCTGTTGGGGAAATCCATACGAATCAACGAAGAAAATATCAGTCTTTTTTTCCCCTCAGAATTGAACATTATAACTCGCAATTGTGAGTTTATATCTCAAAATTCTGAGAAAAAAGTCAGAATCAATAGATAAGACTTGCAATTCTGACTTTATAACTCGCAATTGTGAGTTTATATCTCAAAATTCTGAGAAAAAAGTCAGAATCAATAGATAAGACTTGCAATTCTGACTTTATAACTCGCAATTGTGAGTTTATATCTCACAATTTTGACTTTTTGATGTAAACTCGCAATTGTGAGAAAAAAGTCAAACTTATGAGATAAAAAGTTACAATTACCTTATTATTAATTCAGTGGCGGAAATATATGTATATATATATATATATATATATATATATATATATATAAACATGGCAGAGGATCCCCAAATCCAGGTGTGAAAAACTTGTTGCATCTTTCCCAAAAAGACTCATGGCTGTATTAGATCAAAAGGGTGCTTCTACTAAATACTGAGCAAAGGGTCTGAATACTTAGGACCATGTGATATTTCAGTTTTTCTTTTTTAATAAATCTGCAAAAATGTCAACGATTCTGTGTTTTTCTGTCAATATGGGGTGCTGTGTGTACATTAATGAGGAAAAAAAAATAACTTAAATGATTTTAGCAAATGGCTGCAATATAACAAAGAGTGAAAAATTTAAGGGGGTCTGAATACTTTCCGTACCCACTGTATATACAATATAGAACAACAGAAGCAATCAAACCAACAAAAAAGCAATAGTACGTAAGTGCTGTGACAAGTTCATCTAACACAGTACACGTATTCAAGTGTTCTAGTGTTAGAGGGTCATTTTTTTATAAATAAAAAGAAAACAAGTGGATAGAGTAGAGAGTGCTAGTGTTAGAGAGTCAAGTGTAGATGGAAGAGATCTTTCTTAAGCCATTTCTTGAAGATGGATAAAGACTCAGCTGCTCGGATCGAATTGGACAGGTCATTCCACCAGCAGGGAACAGTATACATTTACATTACAGTAAGAATTATTTTTCTTTTATAGAGCAAGGATGCATTAAATAAATCAGTTAAAGAGACAGTAAAGACATTTTTATTTTAAATAAATGCTACTCTTTTAAACTATATTTTCATCAAAGAATCAAAAAAATACACAGTACAGTACAGTACAATAAATTACAGTTACCTTAAAATATTGAAATATTTAAAATACTGTTTTCATCATTGATAATAATAGGAACTGTTGTTTGAGCTTCAAATCAGCATATTACAATGATTTCTGAAGGATTTTGTGACACTAAAGATGTATGTATGTGTATACAATAACAATATGGATCATTTATTTAATATACCTGTTACTTAGTGGAGAAGAACAGAAAACTATTCTCAACCAAGTTGGTCACACTTACCTGTTCTGTTAAAAACTAAAAAGAGAAAAAAAACATGATTGGTAGGAAATGGTTACCAGTTACATTTAAAAGTTAAAATGTAGACTGAAATCATTTATCTGTTGAGGTTGTGTTGACAGTCTGTGTATTTGGATGGTTGAGCTGCAGAAAATCATTTGACCGTTACAGATTTGAAAAACAAAAAAGGCGGGAATAAAGAATCCTAAACTCTTACACAAAGAACCATTTCAGCATAAATGGGATCTTGAGGATGATAATAAAACTGTTAGTATGTGTACAGAAACATATTTTTTCGAAGGTAGAATGTCAATACTGGTCCATATGTCTTAAAGAATAAATATATTTACCCTATACAGAAAGAGTTAGCGGAACAGCATATGTACGTGTCACGATTCTCCTTAAGGAGCGTGTCGGTATGTATGTTTTGTGTGGGCGCCTGGTTGTGTGAAATGTAAATGAGCGTGTTTGAATGTGTAGGTATGCTCATGAGTGTCGGTATGCGTGTGTGCGCTCTCTCTGGAAATGTTTGAGTTTGTAGCTATGTCCTGTCAGTTCTGTATTTGTATGTGTGTGTGAGGTGAGAGCAGCAGGCCTGTGAGGTAGACTGTGCTGTATTGATAAGACAGGAAGCTTGCAGCGGTGTGTGACTTTGGCCCTCTCTCTCTGCAGGTAAAGGACCGGAGACTCTGTTCGCAGGGCAGAAGCTGAATGACAATGAGTGGCACTCTGTGAAGGTGGTGCGCCGTGGGAAGAGCCTGCAGCTCTCTGTTGACAATGTGACTGTGGAGGGTGAGAGGAAGACCTCACACGCACTGTATATGTACTGTATATGGATACATGGACAGTTATTATAGTTATAACCAAGCTTCAGTGTGCTTTTGCATAGGCGATACAGTCTGTATGTCCAAATACTCAAAGTTTGGGGTCAGCAAGATATATATATATTTTTTTAAATAAGCACTTTATTATTAATCAGCAGTGACAGTAAAGGCACTTCTAATGATACAAAAGATTTATATTTCAAATAAAAACTGTTCTTTTGAACTTCAAAGAAAATAATCCTGAAAAAAGTAAGATTGTTTTTGAAGAAAATTAATACTTTTCTTCATATATTAATCAATAATGAGAGAAGATACATTTTTTATGTTACAAAAGATCTATATTTCAAATAAAAGCTGTTCTTCTAAACTTTCTATTCATCAAAGAATCCTGAAAAAAAAAAGATTTTTTGAAAGACATTAATACTTTTATTCAGCAAGGGTACAATAAAATGATTAAAAGTCACAGTAAGGACTTTTACATTGTTATAAAAATAAACATTTCTAATAAAAGCTGTTTATTAACTTTTCAATTCATCAAAGACATTGATAATAATAAGAAATGTTTCTTAAGCATCAAATTAATTAGCATATTAGACTGATTTCTGAAGGATCATGACACTGAAGACTGGAGTAATGGCTGCTGAAAGCTTTGCCATCCCAGCAATAAATTACATTTAAAATATATATATTTTTAATTTTTTATAATATTCTCAATATGACCGTTTTACTGTATTTTGATCAAATAAATCCAGCTTTGGTGAGCTTAAGAGACTTCTTTTATAAACAAAAAAATTGTACCCACCCCAAACTTTTGGTAGGTACTACACATAAGGGCTTTTCACACTTGAAATAGTTAAAAAGTGGTGTTTAGAACAGTGATAACCCGGGGTTAAGTGCAGTGTGAAAAGCCCTATGATGCAATGCACATTACATGACATTTCAAATTATTTTTGCTTTAGTCTGACCAAAATTAAACATTTAAAGTTTATGCAAACACACTTACTGTATCCTAATCAGGTGTGATCCATTAAAGTGACCAAATGAGAAGAGGCATTTCAGATATTTTGTTGACATTTTGTTAATTGCAGGAAAGCAGCTACAACTGTGAAACAATGAAATCTAATTGGTCTAAAATAGATTTTTGAATCAAACTTTTCAGACTGCATTTGTGAAATGAATCATCCAATCCACTGACAAATTTGACTCAGAAGAATAATTCACTCAGAAATCGTTATTTCTATAATGACTCACAATTTTCAGTGAATAACTGAATAATTCTCACAGAGAGTTACCATATGGATTTTCACGTTCAGTGTATACAGACTTGCTTGACTCTTAAAACTTGTCACATCATGTCTAGTTATGGCAGAGTGTTATTCATTTATCGTTGTGGTGACAACTGAGAGATTATATATAGTACAGTTTTTCAGGTTTAGATTCATATTGCACATTGCAAGTTCAGCGTTAACCACACATCCAACTCTGAATTGAACATCAAAAGCTGTACTTGCCTTGGGATGGGCTCAGGCAGCACGCCATTCCCTCATATCATCAGCTCCCAGACCTGACTAATCGAGCGTGTTTGGTTCCGCCACAGGCCAGATGAGCGGAGTACATACGCAGCTGGAGTTCCACCACATAGAGACGGGCATCATGACCGAGCGGCGCTTTATCTCAGTCATGCCTTCCAACTTCATCGGCCACCTGCAGGGCCTCTCTTTCAACGGCATGCCGTACCTAGACCAGTGCAAGAATGGTGACATCTCTTACTGCGAGCTCAACGCCCGCTTTGGCATGCGCCGCATCGTGGCAGATCCCGTCAGCTTCCGGAATCGAGCCAGCTATGTGGCGCTGTCCACCCTGCAGGCTTACGCCTCCATGCACCTCTTCTTCCAGTTCAAGACCACCAGTCCTGACGGTCTGATGCTGTTTAACTCTGGAGACGGCAGTGACTTTATCGTGATCGAGCTTGTGAAGGGGTGAGTGAGTGAAAAAAAAAAGAAGATTATATTACAACACCAAAGTTTGAATGACAGCCCCATGAAATTCAAATTTAAATATTTTTGCTTTTAGTTTATTTACAAAAAAATCCCTTTTAGCAGATATACACATTTAAAATGGGCAGCAGAGCTACTTTTGCATTATTTATATAATATTATAGTATTTATTGATATTTTATATGATAATAAACTTTTATTTTTGTATTTTCAGATTTCATTTTAATTTTAGTATGTTTTAATATTTTTGTTAGCTTTATTTTTTCATTTCAATTTTAGTAATATTACTTCAACTTAAACTGTTTTTATGTGGTTAGTTGCAAAGGCAACATTTCCAATTGTTATGTTGTTTTAAGCTTAAGTTTTTTTAATTTCAATTTTCAGTTAACAAAAATTGGTTTTAATAACAGTAACAACACTGATTTACAGCATTTCTCTTCTGTGAAAACATACCAAAAATATTTTAAAAATCATATTCAAATATTAATCTTGCAATACACAAATTTTTGTCCAATCAAATGCTCTCAAGTGAAAAAGCCTCTCCTACTGCATTAAAAAAAAAAAAAATGTTCTGCCAAAATGTGCTTAGAAAAGAGAAATGTGATCAATTGATTTCATGGGATCTTTAACTCTTTCCCCAAGCGTTTTTGCTGATTTTCACTGAAATTTCATGGCCCCCAGAATATTTTGTTGTCTCAAACATGCAATATATCAAAATAAAGATCAGACCCCCTACTTTCAAACAAGCAAAAAAAATGTGTTTTATTCTAGCTTCAAGCATTGTTTTTATGAACACTTGAATGTAGGTTTAATAAAAAAGCAACATTTTGAGCAAAAAGCTGAGAAAATCCCATTTTTGTCAAATACATTTACATTTAATCATTTAGCAGCTTTTATCCAAAGAGACTTACAAATGAGAACAATAGAAGCAATCAGAACAACGAGAGAACAACAACAGTATACAAGTGACATGACAAGTCTCAGTTAGTCTAGCACAGTACACGTAGCTAGTTTTTTTTTATTTTTTATTTTTTATATAATACAATGGAATAGAACAGAACAGAATAGAATAGGTAAGTGCTAGTATTAGTACTTCATCTGGATGATATTCAGTAATATTATCAAAGCAAAGATGCAGTAGATGGCTTCCAACAATACTCCCAAAGTTTGCACAAGCCTTTACCAATTTCTGGATTGACATTTCACCCTGTAACATAAGGCAGTTTTCATTTATATGTGGTTAGTGTTGATGATCGCATTATTTTTCATATGCATATGCATACATATGAGATCGCTCGTTTCTGCGTCTTCCTGGTCTGTGTTTTTGATCGGCACTTTGCAGACTCATTCAGGAGATGTGTAATAGCGCCCCCTAGCGTATAACAGTGAAAACTCGGAAACCCGTAAATTTCCATGTTTGGCGGGGAAAGAGTAAAATGGCTGAACTGTAAAGATTCAGCGTTTGACTCCGCCTTCTGCTGCTTCAAACCAATCAGACCAAAAGCTAATTGAACAAAATGCGTTCATTATTAAAGTTTTTGGCTTAGTCAGAGGAGCATGTCACTATTGGCCATGCTCATATTACTAAAAACAGCATTAAGCATTAAAATCCTATTAATAAAAGACATTTAATTAAAGTGTGAAGTTGAGATGGGAACTATAAAGAAGAGATGAGAATAGGAGATTTCTTAACATTACTGCACAAATAAGGAACTAGAAATTTCTGAAATAGGCAGGGTATTATGAAATGATAATAACGTTGAGAACTACCTGATTGAGAAAAGAGAGAGAGATGAAATTAGAGTGCAATATAAAGTTAAACCTTAGCCATACGTGATGGAAAGCCTGAGGCCTGAGAGACAGAGAGAAAGACACCTTAGCAGAAAGTGAAGTTTCCTGAACTATTCTACGGCGCTACAGCAAAGGAAATCATATTATTCTCTAAATCGTTCATTTGCCATCTCATTTGAATGTGATGAAAAAGACTGTGTATTGTGAAATAATATTAAGACAATACTTTCTCATTCTTGTTGGCTGCACGCAAAAATATACAGCTTATCTAGTGTAGTCCGTTTCATGAACAAATTTGTTTTGTTTAATCAATTTCGCAAAAAACTTACAGGCTTTGTTCCAAAGTCTAGCGACCTGCATTTTAAGGTGCCTTTAAAGGTAGGCATCTTAATTATGCTTCTTAAGACTTCATGCTTTGGCCACTTCATGTTTTGTGTATTTGTGTATTGTGTTGTTAGTCAAACTCTGTTAAAATTAAGTTGAGTTTTGAACATGGAGTGTTCCAAATCAATCACTTAAAAGGATTTATATCAGTTAGCATGCTTTCTTACAAGTTAGCTGTTTGTGTAGGCAGTATATAGAAAGATTCAATAGGTTTTGGAACAGCTTGGTGAATCCTTCGCTGAACGAACTCACTGAATATGACTCACAATACTCTTCATCTATACTTTGCAGTTTTTTTTGTAATAAATATTTTATTAGAAATAGATAACATAATAAATCAGTCTTTAAAACCTTGCAATATGTTACCAAATTAGCATTGTAATTTTTAGATCAGTTATGGGTTTGAACCTGGGTAGGTGGGATTCTGTAGGAACCACTGAGAGGAAGAAAAAGCCCTTGAGACTGAAAACAAGTCTTTTCTTATACTCTCCCAGCCATGTGAAATTGTAAATCCAGATATTGAGACATTCCCACTGACAGCTCAAAGTTCATCTTCAGTACATTACCCAGATTGTTGGTGATCTCATCCTTCAGCATACAAACGTCAGTCCCGAGAAAGTTAGAGCTCAAAGGCCTTTTCCGACAGAACTAACGCACAGTTGTTTCTGTAGGAGAGCGAGATGCAGATATTATTGCAGAAACTCCCAGAAGACACTGCAGATATTCGAGGGATCACATGCAAGCAGCTAGGTACACACTTCAGTATATGAGAGACATCCAGATGAAGTTAAGCCGCCACGCTAAACAGCGCGTTTAAGTTTGCGATTAGTTAAGAGACATTACTTGGATGTGAATCATAGCCGTGGGAGGGTGAGTCAAGTCGCATTATAAGATTCGCACATTTGTCTCCTTGGCATTTAGTTAAAGGTACAAGGAGGAGGAGAATCGCTTGATGAATCATCACAGGATAGGGGCCATATTTAAATTTAAACAAATTCTGCATGAGTTGCTTTTGGTTATGCGTAAATGCTGATCGGTATCTGCTAGGAAGGAGCTCACCGTGAGTTATTCTTTGACGTTCAAGTGTACGCCCGATGACTCTGAGGCGACTGTGTCTGCTCGTCAATCAAGAGCAATTTCAGAGGAATGATTGCGTGGATCGCTATTCTAAGCCTCAGATACTGTAATCGGCTCACAAGAAAAGTGCAAATCCATTTCGAAAAGATAAAGTAAGCACTGGTGACCTTGATGAAAAAAGAGCAGCTTTTAATCACATGTAATGTAAGTGTTATTTGATTAACGGTATTCTATTTATTGGCAGCCCACTCTGTTCCCAACCCACATGCCAAAGCCGCCACATGGGAGATCCGCAGTCTCGAATCAGATATTTTTTCCCATCAGTCTAGTAAAAGATTTTTCAGTTCAATCATGCTGCTTATGCCTAACATAGCAGGTACACCAACCTGAATTGCTGATAGATTTTTATTCCACTGGGCAAAAACGAATAGTGAAAAGGGGAAGGTGCCTCAGATGTTTAACTTCCTCAACCGCAGTGGTCCAGAAAGTCAGTCATTCAGTAAGCAATTAGACAGCAGGTGGCCTTGCCTCTCACCGGAGTCTGCACAAGCATGTGAAATGAGAGAGCGCTAATGAGCACATTTTCTTTCTCTCTCTCTTTCTTTCTTTCTCTGCAGTATCTTGATGTATGAACTTAGAGCAACTTCCAGCATTTCCAAATTCTAATGTTTATACAGTAGTTTGAATTAATATTAGCAGTGCACTGTATATCTCCATGACCTTGTTGGTATCGAACACTGCTTTTTTTTGGCATTGGTTTGAATACAGTGCAAGAGTGTCTTAGTTCTGGAAGTATTTTTTCACATTTAGGCATTTCAGACAATTCTACAATAAAGAGTTATCGCAGTATTTTAACATTCAATTGAAAGCAAAAAAGTATTTGAAAGGCATAAAAAAGGTACAAGACAGTGTATTCAATGTCTTATGAGGGATTGAACTACTGCTGCAGTTACTTTTGAGCTCTATTGCTGAAATTCCCCATTCTATGAGGAAAGATGATTTCTCATAAGGCATATTTCACTGCTAAACAACCCGAAGCTCACGGTAAGTCTTTCTTGAAAGATTTGGAAATTATCCAACCTGGGCTCATTGGAAAAACTTGCCTGTGGCGACATTTCTGCAAAATGGTATTGCTATGCTTTACGTTTCGCGACACTTTCAAAGTGAAATGTCCAGTGGTGCTTAGATTTAAACAGATTAACATGAATCTGGCAAAGTTTTATTTTGTTGGTGTTTGTATGTATCATGGCAGTTTGTAATAAGCTAATCTTCTATTGCATTTGAAAATACAGTACCGCCTACACTAAACGCTACCTTAACCCTAACAGATAGTGTTAACACAAGCAAACGTGAGAGATACAAATACATTGCTGAAGCAACCATACTATTTTAGCTTGCTTCGAGTCTTTTTATCTTGACTGGTGTTACACGAGCACTGCACATCACAAGTGCAAAGCTGTAACAGGTGAGCTCCTGAGCAATTTTACTAATCAGAAGAGCTATACATATGGAACTGGTTATGTGAGGCAACGTCAAAAAAAAAAATCATGCACTATGGTGAAAAAAATTGAGGTCATAACATATTTTTGTGCAAGGAAATGTGTGAAAATAAGTCTTTATTAATTGATAATCGTAATCACAACTAGTGTGAAAAGGAATAAAAGTTATTAGTGTTTTAATGCCACTAGTGTTAATTTAATCTGGAAACTACAGTGATTTGTATGTATATGTTTTTTTTTTTTTTTTGGAGTTCTACAGAAACAATAAATAAATGTAAAAAAAAAAAATCAAATACTAGCTGATAACTGATATGGTAGCATATATTATGCTTATTGTATATATACTGTATATATGTGTGTGTGTGTGTATATATTATTGGCATATTAGTTATCAGCCAAAGCACATTTATCATTGACAAACGTCTGACTAAAAAAAATAAAAAAGAATATCACTAAATAAAATATAGTGAAATATATGCAAACAATTTCAAAGCATCAAAAGAAATGCCTATATAATATATGGAGCCACAGTGTGTTGAAGTTGAAGTTATACTTTGCAGAAGACTGTAAGCTGTTTACTGTGGCTGCACACTGAGCATCTGACAGGGCGGAAGTCTGTCTGTGCCAGTATTTCAAACCTTATTACAGATATTGATTTGGAAGCAAAAAGGCAGTATTGTCATCCTAAAGAGGGTTGCCTGATTCCACTGGGCTGTTTGATTGACAGGGGAACTGATGTATTGCAGGTACATCCATTATGTTTTTGACTTGGGCAATGGGCCGTCGCTCATGAAGGGCAACTCCGACAAGCCGCTCAATGACAACCAGTGGCACAACGTGATGGTGTCCCGCGATGACAGCAATGTGCACATGCTCAAGATCGACTCCCGCATGGTCACGCAACACTCCAATGGAGCCCGCAACCTGGACCTCAAAGGTACTTCCTTTCATCCACACTTTTCAGAATACTTCACCATATATCTTAGAGTCAATGCATATTCGTATTTGAGATGCCTTGCTTTTTTTGACTTTGGAAAATGTCCACTTTTTTGGTTTCATGAGCTGAGTGATATTGTATACATGTAATTGTACGTCTTAAAAGAATAGTTCACCCAAAAATGAGAATTTTCTGAAAATTTACTCACCCTCAGTCCTTCCCAAGATGTAGATGAGTTTATTCATTAGAACAAATTTGGAGAAATTTAGCATTACATCACTTGCTCACCAATGGATCCTCTGTAGTGAATGGGTGCCGTCAGAATCATCACAATATCCACAAGTAATTCACATAACTTCAGTCCATAATAACACTTCCTCCAGTGAAAAAGTTCATCTGTTTCCTCTCACATCAAAATCTATGGTGCTTGATCTGTACATACTGTTTTTCTCTCCTGATTTAGACGAGACAATTTTTTCACTGGAGAAAGAAATTTTATGGATAGAGGACTCTGTTTGAAATGAAAAATGTCGTAATGATGGATTTGTTTACTACAAACACTGCTTTTCTTTTCTTTCTTTCTTTTTTTTTTTTGTCCACACAATGTAAGTCCGTTGTAATCAAAGGGATTTGGTTACCAAGATTCTTCAAAATATCATACAGGTTTGAAACAACATAAATTAAATAATAACAACATTTTCTATTTCTTTTCACAGCCGTTAAGAACCACACTTCTGATTTTCAGTTTAACAGAATTTCTTCCATCATTACACTCGCTATGGTTGTTTAGGCTGAAGTTTTATGACTGTTATCAACTGTTATCTCACTCTTAGGTGCGCTTAGATACATATTTGCTGTTTTACGCTCATCTTGGGTTTGATTTCCGACTCTTGCATTAAACTTTAATGAGTATCTTTCCTGATGGGTATTTACACAGCTTCCAGCTCCTTGTTTAAATCATGTTGCTTCTGAAATCTACCTTCCAGTACTTCTCACCGTTGCTATCATTTTTCGCTGTTTCGGCTGTAATTAGAAGAACAAAGAGCAGTGCCTACGGGGAAAGAGAAAAAAACAACAACAACACGCCACTGACTTTGCATAAGTTTTAGTGCATCCAAACATGCTTTAGCTATCTTAAGCAGGTGTTGCTTGACTCTGGGCACAAAAATGAACTTTTACTTCATATGAAATGTAGAAACATGAATCTCATGTATATTCAGTTATTTTCTTGTGTGTTGGAATGAAATATTTTGATTGAAAAGACATCAGCAGATATTGCCATAGCAATATCTTAGGCTTTTCTCTATTCTGAGTTTTCACTGGCATCTTAGTAGAAATCTTGGCAGTCAGTCCTTAGTTTTGTGTTTTAGTCGACACTAGAAGAAAGCTGAGACAAGTTCACAAAAAGAAAACAGAAACCACTTTGTTTGTCAAGACCAAATAATCTAACCAAAGTAAATGTAAGGAGAATTTGTCAAGGTTTTTTACAGTGTCCCATGCCTTTCTGAAAATGCTGATTTTCTAGTGATGTGGTAGATTGGAACGATTCCTAAAGTGAAAAAAATATACATTTTACTGTTCCATTTATGACTGTGTTGTGTCAGCAGAAGGAAAACAATAGTTTGCAAGACTCTCAAGACTGTCTAGATGAACAAGTCTATTAAAAATATCAGACGATTTGTCCTTTTGAACATTTAATGACATGCTCTTTTGAGGTTATAAAATGTGTTGCAACTGCGCAAAAATATTATATTTATTAATTAAATCATAAATATTAATTAATAATAATAATTATGAATTAACATGTAGTTATTAGTGTCAATTGTTAAAAAATTATAAACATATAATATAATAAGTAAGGAATAATGGTAACACTTTAGATTAGGGAACACATATTTACTGTTAATTAAGAGTTTTCCCTCAATAAACTCCTAATTTGCTGCTTATTAATAGTTAGTAAGGTAGTTGTTAAGTGTATGTATGGGGTAGGGTTAAGGGATCTAAAATATTGTCATGCAGAATAAGGCATGAATATGTGCTTTATAAGTACTAATATACAGCCAACATGCTAGAAATATGCATGTTAATAGCAGCTAGTTAATAGTGTGAATTATTAGAAAATATATCGGCATCATATATCATGCATCACCACCTCAGGTGTGCATTATTTTCTAATAATTCAATGGCCCGGAGTCAATTATTCTGCTTATACTACGGTTACCACACTTCAAATATTGGACATAGTATTTTGGTTATTTTGCTTTCAGAACTGCCTTAATTCTTCATGGCATATATTAAACAAGGTATAAGAAACCAGATGGAGATGATTTGAGCTTTGTGACATGGCGCGTTACCCAGCTGGAAGTAGCCATGACATGATGGGTACACATTAGTCATAACAGGATGGATATGGTCAGTAACAATGCTCAGGTAGGCTGTGGGATTTATGATGATTAGTTGGTACTAAAAAGCACAAAGTGTGCCAAGAAAATATCCTCCACACCATTACTCCATCACCAGCCTGAGCCATTAATATAAAGCAGGATGGATCCATGCTTTACGCCAAATTCTGCCACTACCATCTAAATGTCGCAGCAGAAAGACTTATCAGACCAGGCAACTTTTTTCCAATCTTCTGCTGTCCAATTTTGGTGAGCTAGTGTGAACTGTAGCCTCATTTTTCTGTTCTTACAGGTAGCTGACAGGAGTGGTATCTGGTGTGGTCTTCTGTTGTTGTAGCCCATCGGCTTCAAGGTTCAACGTGTTGTGTGTTTAGTTGCTCTTCTGCGTAACTTGGTTGTAACGAGTGTTTAGTTGCCTTTCTATCAGCTCAAACCAGTCTGGCCATTCTCCTCGGACCTCTGACATCAACAAAGCATTTTCACAGACAGAACTGCCGCTCAGTGAATATCTTCTCTATTTTGGATCATTCCCTATAAACTCTAGAGATGCTTGTGCGTGTAAATCTCAGTTGATCAGCAGTTTCAGAAATACTCAGACCAGCCTGTCTGGCATCAACAACCATGTTTAAAGTGACTTAAATCATTTTTCTTCCTCATTCTGATACTTGGTTTGAACTTCAGCACATTGTCTCGACAACGTATACATGCCTAAATGCATTGAGTTGATGCCATGTGATTGGCTGATTGGATATTTGTGTCAACAAGCTGGGATTGTGTGTGTGTGTGTGTGTGTGTGTGTGTGTGTGTGTGTGTGTGTGTGTGTGTGTGTGTGTGTGTGTGTGTGTGTGTGTGTGTGTGTGTGTGTGTGTGTGTGTGTGTGTGTGTGTGTGTGTGTGTGTGTGTGTGTGTGTGTGTGTGTGTGTGTGTGTGTGTGTGTGTGTGTGTGTGTGTGTGTGTGTGTGTGTGTGTGTGTGTGTGTGTGTGTGTGTGTGTGTGTGTGTGTGTGTGTGTGTGTGTGTGTGTGTGTGTGTGTGTTTGTGTGTGTATATATATATATATATATTAGCCTTGTGCCGGTATTCGGTAA